CTCTCTCTCTCCCTCTCTCTCTCCCTCTCTCTCTCTCTCTCCCTCCCTCCCTCCCACCCTCTCTCCCTCCCTCCTTCTCTCCCTTCCTCCATGCCAACCTCCCTCCCTCTCTGGATCTCCTGCTCTCTCCCTCTCCCTCCTCTCCCGTGCTCCCTCCCTCCCTCCCTCCCTCTTTCCCTCCCTCCTCTCCTCTCCCTCTCCTCTCCTGCTATAGAGGGCTCCGACAGCAGTTCCCAGCCAGCGTGTTCAGCCTGCCTGCCTGCCTGCCTCTGTGTGTGTGTGAGCGTGTGTGCGTGCGTCTACTTTGTACTGGGAAGAACACAGCCCATGTGCTCTGCATGGACGTTACTGATACTCTGTTTAGCTTGATTTTCGAAAAGCAGGCAAGATGTCCAGCACACCACATGACCCCTTCTATTCTTCTCCTTTCGGCCCATTTTATAGGAGGCATACACCATACATGGTACAGCCAGAGTACCGAATCTATGAGATGAACAAGAGACTGCAGTCTCGCACAGAGGTAAGTACTTCAACCTTGGGGATGTGTTTGTGTATTTTTGTTAAGCTATGCATGAGCTTTTCCTAGGGTTTCTGGCTGAATTCCGTGGGAAGTGTCCCACTTGATACTACCACGTATGTGGAAATGAGCGCCGGGGTGAATCCACGAGTTTGAACGCTGGGTTTCCAGGCACAGCAACTCTTGTAGCAGGGGACAGTTTCTGCCGGAATCTTGAGAGAACCCAGCACTTGATTCACATGCCAGGTTTCCAGAAATGTTGCTCTTCCAGAACTCTGGTATTTTGCAGGCTCTGAGTCAGTCCTGTTGGTGTTTCTTGAGATATAATTCCAAGGAATTTTGTGATTGTTTGCATATGACTGTCTATATATGTATTTTTTTTTTTTTAGAAATAAATCCTAGAGGAAGTCTGCTTTGACCTGTCTTTGCTTTTCAAAGTCACCAAAATCGAGGTAAAAGGGGGTGCAGACGAGTAACCCTGCCTACTTCTCAGAACTAGCCCTGGAGGGACACATAGTATATTTCAGTGTTAAAATCAGAAACCAGTTGCTTGGGGCAAGGGGACTCTACACTTTCTCCTTTTGCTGTTGGCCGTGCCCCCCTGATCACTCTACCTTAGGACAGGAGCTGGTTCAGCTTTCAAGTCAGCTCTAGTTTTTGCATGTTTGAGATCTTGTGCCTGAGAGAGGGAGACTCAGCCTCCTAGGCAGCCAGCAACTCTGGGAGCAGAGAGAACAGGACTTTCAGAACTTTTTAAATGCAAAACTCCAGACTCGCCTCCTGCAATTTAAATCTTTTATGTCAGTTGACTTTTTCTCTGTGCTAGCTCAGCTGGCAGGTCTTGCTGCTGGGCTGTCCATCTGCCTGTGAGTTGGGGCTTTGTGGAAGTGTTCGGAAAAGCAGTCTGTTATAGGTACACCAAAGTTCCTTTAGGAAGTGGAAATTGCTAGGAATTTAGTCTTCTCTGCAGAGTACAAATACCAGAAGATTTATGCCAAAAAGCTTTTAGGGAATAGCTTTGGTGGAATTTTAGATTGAAGATTGACTTTTAACTCTAGGAAGGGACTCCATTAAGTTTGCATTATAGAATCAAACACACTTGCTTGAATTGTCAACAGAGCCATAGAGAATTCATGACGTTTCATGTATTTAATACAGCTAACAAGATGTGACCTGCTTTCTGATTGGCTAACTGCTGGACAAGGACTTATATGTATTTTAAAAGCTGGGTTGTCTTTAATGACTGCTATTTTCTGTATATGTTAATACACCATAGATGCTAACTATGACTACTGGTATCCTTGCTCTTTCTAGAAGCCAGTAGCTCCTACAGAAGTGCAAACTATGTTTTGCTTAGGGTGGTGAACTGTTGGCAGTGACTGATATTTGTGCTTGCTGTTTTATGTATGTTGCTTTGTGTGTGTTACAGTTTGTATATTTCCTTCAGATCTTTGCAACTGCGTGTTGGAATCTTAAATCTCTGCATAAACTATTGGTTGACATAGCCTGCTTTCAGAACTAGGAGGATAGAAAATGTCTTATAGTTCAGGCACACATTAATTGCAATACAGATTTGGGAAAAATAGTCTCTTAAAAGTGTGATCAGTTATAAAAAAGAGGCCAGGGACTATTATGGCTCAATTCTTGAAGAGCAACAATATTTAAAAATGACCTGTGTCCACCTTACATTTTAGAAAGTTTTTGAGGAATTGCAGAAATTCTTCTCCATCCTCCTGCAGTTAGGAACACAGGCAGCATTCTCTGATGTCCGCCTGCCCTCCTGCCCATTACTGAGCACTTGGCTAGGTCTCAGCTAGGAGACTTATCTGCAAGATTTCCCTATTCTTGTCCTCAAAAAAAAATTGCAGGATTCAATATGGTCCCATGTTTGTTTCCCATTTGAGACAAGACATTTGAAAAGACCTCCTTTTTCAGTATGCTTCGCAAAGATGCCACATTATTTTTTGTGAGAGCTAAACTCAGGAATTCCTAACTTTTTGATTATGGGGTATTACTTTTAAAGATTTAGCTCTGAGTAGAGAAAGACTACTTCATAGCTCAAGAACCAAGAGAAGAAAGCTTGCTATGACAAATCTTAAAGATTTTTTTAAACCTCCCTGCCTGTGACAGTAAAGTGCTATGAACTATTTTCTGATGTGTCCTAGAGCTCACCCTTTACATTTTTCCCTCCTTAATTAGATAATTTTTCAAATAATTATTTAAATAATTGCTTCAATACTTCTTTTTTCTTTGCTAAGCAGTAAAATACTGTCATGAACGCAATGCCATATATTTGTTTTTATTTCACATGAAAAGAAGAGAGAATCAAACAATTGCTCCTAAGATATTTAAATATTTACATAAAATATTAAATTTTGATCATGATGTATATACTTTGAAAAAAATAACTTTCATGTAAAGTTACACTGTACGTTTGCCAATAATTGTTGTTTATGATAAAGCTTTTCTGAGTTCTGGAGAGGGATTGATTGGAATAAAATACAAAGATACTCAGCAAGAGTTATTAGTTTATTCACATGCAAAATCAAATATGCCTTTGAGTGATTACTTTGAGAATTTAGCCAAAGCATACAACCATTTTGGGCAAGAGTGACTCACCCATCCCTCTTCCTTCTCTCTCCTCTGGTCCCACTCCTACAGTATATAGTATTATTTCATTAAGTCTTAATCTCTCTCTCTCTCTCTCTCTCATACACACACACACACACACACACACACACACACACCCCCCACTGGGTAATACTCTCAAGTCTTCACTCCTTTTGGAACATGGACTTGGCTAGAAAAAAAAATATAGCAAATCAGTATGTGATGAAGAAATTGTAATCAAGTTTCTGGAAATTTCCTAGAAACCTCCTTTTTTATATGGAAAGAAATTAGTAAAGAACCATGATGTTTACCTACTCTCCTTCCATGGCTGATCCCAGGGCATTTTCTCATGGGGATCGATGCCTTTCTTCCAATTAAATTAAATCAAAGTTCTTCAGAAGCTGGGAAGTTTTAGTTTAAAGAGCATGGCATTGGGAGTTAATATTATTTCTTTTACAAACTAGTTGGCATAGGTCTTGGTTCCTCATTTGCAAATTACCAACAGTGTCCCTTTAATTGAAAATTCAGATTTTCTGGTTTTTTAGCATGAGAAAGTATTGTGAAGAGTGCAGACATGATTTCTTTGCTCATGGTATTCAGTTCAAAATCACAAATGGTAATAAAATAACTGGGTAATAAGCTAGCACTTAGAGCAAGTAGTTCCTGGATCGAGTAGGTACTCATTGAACGTTTGCTGACTAGCCAATCAATGAATCAGTAGACAAAAGGAGATAATTTGAAAACCAATGCATTTATATTAGCACCTTCCCTGATAAATACACTTCTGAAGTTTTTTGGGGCCTGGTATCTCCTATTGAGCTTGAAGCAGCTTTGGGCCTGTGCTTCTCACTCTCCCTAAAGTTCTCATCTCACATCCCCCACATTTATTTTATCTGAGGTCATTTAGATCCGTAATCTTTGTGGCAAAGGAAAGCAAGTGACTAAGTACTAATAAGACCTCACCTCTCTGTAAAGGAATAGGCATGCATTAAAGAGCAAACAGCAATAACAACAACAAAAGTATGTTTTAAATGCTGCTAGGTGTTCTGAAAAGTAAATTTTTTTAAACATTAGAATCTCAGTGGAATTTAATAAAGAAATGTGTGGGTGCTCCCCCCACCCTTTAAAATGAAATGAAGAAAAACTCTGAGGTTGGCATCACTGTGTTCACTGTAATTCCCAGGCAGCAGAGAGGAGTTTACATTTTCTGTTGTGTATGCTGTCAAAAGTTGACCCAATGTCTTCCAAAATTCATGTATTTGAATGGTTTGGCAGTGCCAAATGTATTTTGGAAGAATACAGCCACACAATTATATAGTTTTAACACTGCACACACAATACAGTCAGATAGGATATAAAAATATGTCCTGAAGACTTCAGAATTTGTTCTGTGAAAAGCTTCAATAAAAGCAAAAACAATGGATATTTTTCATTTTTAGGTCTCAGCTCTGAGATGAAAATATAGCTAAAATATATGAGAAACATTATAGTGGACATCATTGTAAGTGAAGGGATTTAACTAATGTTAGATTATTACACAATTTAAGAAAGTTTATCAAGTACAGTTCACAAATCTTTGTTAGAGTAGATACTTTCCTATACCTTGTTTTCTCATTCAAATGACCCAAACTGCCTGCATTTAAGTGAAGATATTTTTAAGTATATATAGTTCCTCATGTTGGCACCATGCTATTTTTTTTTAAATACCATAAACACCAGAAAAGTGTGAGTTCCGTTGTATATTTTTCCTGTTTTGAGGTTTTTTTCTTTTATCAATATTACACATCCTCTTCCAAAAGAGAAAACTGTGATTACAATCAGAAGCCGTACGCACAAGGATTTTATCAGAATTACAGTTTTTAGTTTTACAGGATTTAATATGAAGGTTACAAATATTCGAAGACCTGGAAATTTAAATCTGCTGATTTTCACCCCTTCTCAGCTCAACTCTAAAACTCCCTGGGGGGGGGGGGGGGGAGGAGGGGATTCTTAGTTCTCTTTTCTTTCAGCTACATTTTTATATACTTTAGTCACAGCGTTTCACTTTGTAACATCATGTTTATTCATGGAATAGCTTGGTGTCATTGATGTTCAGATGGAATCTAGTTAAAATGAGATTAGTTATTTTGGATAGGTGGAGAAAAAGAAAAAAATGCTTTGTGATAACTTGGAGGTTTCTCCCCCCTAGAAATTTAGAAAGAAAAATGTTGCTGCTACTCTGAGATCTATGAATGATATTCAGTGTTAAAAACAGAACTTTGTTAGTTGTTTGAAGGGGGTTGGTGAGGTGGGGGAGGGGGCTGGGTGGTGGAAAGGAAAGCTATTTTGAAAATGTTAAATGAAACCAAAAGTGCAGTTTTAAAAATGAGAACTTCCAAACTCTCTTATTTTTC